CATATTGAGTCATCTCTGTCTTGGTATTTCTATCTCATTATTCTTCTCCTTTTACGCACTATTCCATATTCAGAACCAAACACAGCTCACCTAAACTGAAACAAATGATCATTAACGAAGCCAATTTGTGCAAAGTGCAATAGTTATGGAAAGAAAAGAGAATGAGTGATGGTCACATCTCTTTGAACGTGGGCTAATTAGACACACATAACTACAACCTCCTGGTGGCATGGTAGTTTCTCTCATTCCCCTTTTATTCTCTATACTCGCTCATTAACTCATGGAATATGGAGCAAACAACAAAGAGAGCTCACATGTTAATGTAAGTGATACGATGCTGGCCCTGCATCTCAGGGGACACGAGCGGTTTGTTAACAGTGTTTGAAATCATCAGAGGGAAAAGATGTTCCCGGAGCCAGAGCAGTGGCTGTTCAGGAAACACTGCTGCACCAGATATATCTGACAACAACGAGTCCATCAACGAGTGCCCACCATGAGCCTGAGTCTTCATCATGAGCCTGAGTCTTCATCATGAGCCTGAGTCTTCATCATGAGCCTGAGTCTTCATCATGAGCCTGAGTCTTCATCATGAGCCTGAGTCTTCATCATGAGCCTGAGTCTTCATCATGAGCCTGAGTCTTCATCATGAGCCTGAGTCTTCATCATGAGCCTGAGTCTTCATCATGAGCCCGAGTCTTCACCATGAGCCCGAGTCTTCACCATGAGCCCGAGTCTTCACCATGAGCCCGAGTCTTCACCATGAGCCTGAGTCTTCATCATGTCTTCATCATGAGCCTGTGTCTCTGTCTGTGTCTCTGTTTGCTGCAGGGCAGGAAGTGGACAGAGGCTTTGCAGTTTTTTCCCCAGAGACAGCTGCCTGCTGTAAAATACGCTTATGGTGGAGGGACTGACCAAAGACAAGCAGCTGAAATAAAGTCTGCAAGTGCAGAGATAAGAGTGTTTCCTGCAGATCTATCACTACCAGCAGAGCCATCACAACGAGTGAGTGGTGCGGCTCAACATATATTACTATAACTCTCTTAGGACAGACTGAGCATAACGTACTATTCTGTCTGAAGTTTATTTTAGATGCAAAATTGTACTTGAGGCCAGTTTGCCTCCTGGGCACTGCCGAGGTGCCCTTGAGCAAGGGACTACACCCCCACACTGCCTCCTGGGTGCTGTAGAGTAGCTGCCCAATGCTCCTAATACTTGGATGGGTTAAATTCAATGACTACATTTCACTCTGCATGCAGATCTGTGTACAATAAAAAGTTGGACCAAACAGACTTTAAATATATTTACACATACTGTAACATGATTTTTCTTAGTGCTGTCAAACTAAATGCAGCAACACAACTGTCACTTTCCTTCAGCCTTAAGTTAAAGTATGAAATATTAATACACTTAAAGGTGGGGTATGTAATTTATTTCAGAAACACTTTTTGTTATATTCCATGGAATGCTCTTAACATCCCGATAGCAATGAATATCTTAAGTGCTTTGACAAAAAATACATAAAAGAATTTCATCAGTGGAAGCCGTGGCGCTGTATAAAGCACGACCAATCATCTGAGCCGGCTAAAGTAACTGGATGGCCTACCTGCCTGTCAGCCTTCCATCTGTGCACAAACTTATCTCGTGCCTTCATTGGTCATGTGCGCGTTCGTGTGTGTTGGAGGAGGGGCTCTGTGAGGAAGTGGCAGATGTTTTCCGGCTGTGTATTTTCAAATTCTAGCGATCTCGAGCTGGTTTCTCCAAAATGAATAATATCAAGAACATAGCTTCACTCCACAAGGTTGGATCCCCCTCATCTCACCACAGCAGCTGCTGCGGTGCATTTCAACTACAGTCCATTAATCAAACTAATCAAATTATACTTTGTAATTTAATTCATCAATATGGAAATGCTGTTGAATTTAGCCAATAATTAGCATATTATCACAGGGGTCTGGAAAGATATTATTCAGAAGAAACAGCATAGTGATTTTCTCTCCATGTTCATGCTATAGAACCTCCTCCCTGTTATTGACTGTGTCGAGAGGAGCTTTATCCAACATGGAGGAGTGCAGCCATGTGCTTCCTTGATCAAAAAAACATTTTTTATTATCTTTGCCTATTAACATTAAACGCTAACCGCTAAGGAACGTTTCAGATTTCATCCTAGAACTACATAGCTGAAGGGGGGCGTCTGTGCTTTTACCTCATGGTTGGTTGATGTTTTGGGACACCTTGTCACAACCTGAGCTTATTTTGTGTAAAGACTTGATCAGCATTACCATAGGCTGCTGTTTCTTCCTTGCATCCCACGTGGTGGAGTCACGTATTCTGGGTTGGTCACATGCTGTGTCTGGAAAGAGGAAACCTGTGTATCATCCTTTTATTTTGTCTTTGCTTCCCTTCTTCCATACTTCCTTATTTCTTTATCAGCCTATCCGTCTCTTTGCATTGTCTCTTATTTTCTTGCCTCCCTCTGTTCTGTGGCCTCGTGGGAAGGGATAATCCTAAAACTTCCTCTCAGATAATGTCAGCGCTTCCACACCAATGCTCATTTTACCCTCCCTGCACGCAACTGTGGAGCCTGCCAGAGAGAACAGTGGAGCGATGATTTGTGACAATTCTGCTGAGTACAGAGGGAAAACTCAACAAAAAGGGATATCAAATGTCATATTTAAATGTTGAAAAGCACGCTCTGCACCTTTTAGCAGTCTCATGTGCATCACGTCTAGATTATTAGCAGTTTGTGTGATAAGGAATCCGCTGGGCATTCTTTGATGTCACTGAGCTCTTCCACCTGAACAATCTGTTTCTACACTCAGTGATTTTAATTACACACAGAGACAGGAAACGACGGTGGCTTACAGGTGCAAATGCGTTACAACTGCCGAAACACTTCCATTAGGAGAAACAAGTGCAAATAAATAAACACAAATGTGCCAAAACACACGCACATCTTCACCAGCTTGACGAAACATGAGCAGCGTTTACAAAGAAGCGTTGCACAAACAAAATGCTTTAAAAACACAAAGCGCTGTCAGACAAAGGATTCCTGGGGACACTAAAGAGTGACCCACACAGCGTGACCGGAGCGCTTGTTTACGTTTGGGATTATGAAGTTGGCCAACTGTCACTTTAAATGAACTCAAATGTAAGTTTGATTAGCCAACAATGTGATCACATGATTCCTTGGGATACAGTTGCAGATCTGCTGATAGCTAGCTAGCTAACCTAGTCATTTCAAATATACTGTCGAAACACTTACAGTTATGAAACTGGCAAACTGCTATATGCTTCACACATTTGGTAAATGTTTTCTGAATGCTGATCCTCTGTTGTCAAGTTGGTGAAGCTGTTTCTTCATTTGCATGTTTTTTTGCACATTTATGATTTATTTTAGTAATATTTGCATCGTTTTTTTAAACTGCAATGCGTTTCTCCTGATGGAAGTGTTTTGGACCGTTGCCCCTGTAGGCACTTACCATAACACACTTATATAACTGTAGAGAGGAAGCAATATGAAGGTTTACCAAAAATAATTAGAAAACTGAAAACCTTCATCAGATTTCAAACCCCTCTTACTCCCACCGCACATATTGGTGAAAAACAAGTCTTTATTCCCAAATCCTTCCTAATCTGCTCAGCTGCCACTATCCGGCAGTTTATTGCACCTCCTAATACAATTACAAGCACAATACAGCCTTTACATGGACTTTGTTCCACTTTCGCACAGAAGAATGAACGTCTTGGGTGGGGGTACATTACTGGAATGCATGTGCACATCATGCATGCAGGCTAATCTGGTAGGCAGATATGGCAACCAAAATAGAAACTGTGATCTTTGATGCAGCACAGCTGAAGGCATTATATTATCCCATACAATTACACTGACACATCCTTTTAGTGTCAGGATGATGGTTTTTGGGAGAAGACCCGGGGTCACGTGGCTTCAGAACCTCGAAACAACCTACAAATAATGAATGACAAACAATATATTATTTGTTCAGTTTAGTAAAAGCATGCAGGTCACCAAACTCTCACGAGATGATCCTGAATGCACCACGGGACTTCAGGACATATTTTGGGACTTTTCTTTGTTCTTTGGGTTAGCGATGATAAACCAGCAGTGGTGTAATTTAACTACATTTACTTAATTACTGTATTAAGTAAAAAAATGGAGGTAACTGTACTTTACTTGAGTACTTTCATTTACTAGTTATTTGGCAGATGTAGGTTAATACAAAATATACATCTATTATCATAATGTATTACAGTTTAAGCTATACAGTAGTCCATAACGTAATTCACATAAACCCCACCTTGACCAAGTGCAACATTGAAGTGATGAACACATTAATCAGAATCAGAAACGGGTTTATTGCCAGGTAGGTTCACACATACGAGGAATTTGACTTGATGTCATGGTGCATACATACAATCTAAAACAAAAACTCTCCATATAAAACAAAAACTCTCCATATAAAACAAAAAATCTGTAAGGACACTGTAATAAAATATAGTTAGATAGCAATAAAATAAAGCAGTAATTTACAGCGAAATAGAATGCAGTGAATTATAGCATATAAAATATGAAATGTGAAATAAGAAATATGTGCAGTAAGCAGTATTTGAACATTGTGTGCATTAATGTAATGCATATGCACCAATCATTTAAAAATAAAAAATTTAAATGTGCCATTATGCATTACTATGAGTAACTTTACTTTTGGTAGGCCTACCTAAAGTAGGCTACATTTTGATATTAATACTTGTTAACTTTTACTATTTTGAATTAGGCCTACTTTACACTGTGGTATTGTTACTTTTACTTTAGTAAATAATCTGAGTACTTCTTCAACCTGAACAGTGTATACAGAGATACATAGCCTAACATGCTCCTCTTTAAGGTGTCCCTCACCAAAAACTGGTGGGAAAGACCCCCTATTCATCAACCCCTTACCCAAAAAACACACCAAGGTATCTTCCATCCAACAAGTCCTTACCGCAGAGCAGCTGCATCCAGGCGCACGTCTTGTACACAGAGGCGGTGTTGCAGAAGAAGAAGAGGGCGAAGCAACCGATGCAGCCGAGGATGAGCACCATGGACAGCAGCACGAACACCGAGGCCGCCTTGAAGGCTCCGGACGGGATGGAGCTGAAGTCGGAGATGCTGCCCTGGCACAGGAGCTCCCGGTCGGAGTTCCCGATGCCCACGCAGTAGTGGAACAACCCGAAGTGTCCGGCCTGCAGGGTGTTGATGCTGTCTCCGATCCAGTACGGCTGGAAGAACACCACCACACTGATGATGGCCAGGCAGATGGTGAATATGGCCCACAGGACCCCGATGGCGCTGGAGTTGCGCATGTAGTTGTCATGGTAGATTTTGGAGGCTTCTTGCGAAGGCAGCATTTTTCTCTCCCGCCCCCGGATCCCCCCTGCACAGCAACCTGTCCCTTATCCTCTCATCTATCCTCCTCTATCGTCAGGAAAGGATGTCATACTAAGAAAATAATCATTATAAAAAGGATCAACAAAGTCCCGTGATTTGTCCCCCCTCTCCCCCTGTAGCTCAAGACCTGGATCCTGCTTTTTTAACAATAGTCTCACATCCAAATGCTCCCACCTCCCCCCTCTGTCCTCCCATAAGATCAGTCAATCATTCAGCGGCGAAGCGTGATCCAGCTGAGGGACCCCCGCCCCCCCTCTCCTTCACTCAGCGCGTAAAGACCCCGCGGAGCTCCCGGAGCGGGATCCAGCGGCCGGTGGTGGACAGCAGCAGCATACCTCTCTTCACCTCCGCCGCTCCGCCGCTACAGAAACATTCAGAGGTCCACTCTTCCGGAGATGATGAGGAATCCTTCGCTAATTAACATCCAACAGAAATGCACACCGACACTGAATCAGCCTCTGACATGCTTCCCTCAGCAGTTCAACTTAAAAACAAACAAACACCACATTATGTTCGACGGAATTCCGTCTACGGATGAAAAAGAAATAAAAAATATAAATCAGTCCTCCAACAGAGCACCTCCACAGCCCTCTCTCTCTCTCTGCTGTGAGGCTGCAGCTGGACCCCTTCTCAATCCCTCCGAGAACAAGATGCATTTTGGGTAACGGAGGCACAACGTTTTGCAATTAGACAAAATAAAATATCTCTGTTACTGCTGCATGGAATTTGACTCTTTTCTCAATAGTTCATAAAAGGAAAAAGTTCGGTTTATTTCATTTATTTTAAGTGATTGTCCCAATCATAGTTTAAAGAGTAGGCATATATTGTTTATTTAAAAATGTATTTATGATATATCATTTTATACAATGATATATAATAAATACAATAAAAAACAGATAGGCCTACTATTTATTTATAATAATGCAAACTGAAAGATCCCCTTTTGTTAAAAACTACATTATTGCCCCTTTTCCACCAAACCGGTTCCAGGGCCAGTTTCGGGTTAGAGCCTGATTTAGTCTGGTTCTTCCTGTTTCCACCGCAGTGCTTCACGTCACGCTTACGTCGGAGGGGGGCGAGATTAACCTGAGCAATAACAGGCAAATACAAGTTGTATCAGTAGCGCTGAGCAAAGCTGAAGAACGCGACCACACACTTTATAAAGTCAGGCAACACTAACCAGGCTTCGTGTGATTCTGTTTATTTGTACCTTACTTTGACCATCCGTTCACTGTTATTGATCATTGTGGAGAGCAGGCAGACGTTTTATTTGTATTATAGCAGCTATCGGATGGAATCAATACATGGGCTGCACAGGTTGTCGTGTCCGACTATGTTAAACAGGTCCTATTATATCTGTTGTGGTATTCCCTTTCCTGTAGTGTGTTTTAGGTTTTTGATCATGTAGCCTATTAAATGGTCTGCAAAGGCAAAAATCCCTGTGATCCCTTCAGAAAGAGTTTCTTCCCCACACACTGTCCCCGCCAGTCCATTGGACTCCTTTATACTTCTGAAACAAGATTTTTTTTTTTTTAAATGTTGAAGTTAAATGCATCAATCTGGTGCACTTTGAGAGCAAAATTCGGGACTAAATCTATGGATACATCTCGCAACACCCATATGAAACAGAACTGTTAACAGATTTACTTTTTCTTTCAACATTTATTTGAACAGCAAGTGGAGGCAAAAGTGACTGCACCCAAAGCAATAAACCTGCTAGCTAACGCCTAAACTCAGTAACAGAATGATGTGGGCAACACGTTCTTCTCCACAGCCGCGCGACCTCTGAGTCAGACGTCACTTCCCCCTTTTCTATCCTACGGGTACATCCACTCCCCCTGAACCCCGTTTCCCTGCCAACCACCCCCCCCTCCCCTATGCAAGCCCCTCCCCCTGAACCCAGGGCTGGCTACAATACTGTATACTGTATACACAAACTATACAAAAACGCCTTTACGCTTTGGAGCTTGTTTATCCATCTGTAAGCAACTGCCAGCTAGGTCTCTCAGTCACTCACTCCTGATCGTTCACTGCGCAGTGACAGCTGCTACGGGCAAGGCCGGATTAACCATATGGGCAACCTGGGCAAGTGCACAGGGGCCCTTGAGCAAAGAGGGCCCTCAGTGACAAAACTTTAAAATAATATTATTTTTTAAAACTTTTTTTTCCGGGCACAACCTCACTCATGATACATTGTTTTAAATTACACTCACTCTTCACCATAAATAACACAGCTTTTCTATACGATCAAATTAATATATTTTCTAAACCGTCTCTGTACTGTAGGTCTCACTATGTATGCGCTCAACTTTATTACTACGCGGCGGCGGTGTATAGCCGAATCACAGCCCCACCCTCACTCATGTCACATTTTGTCACGTGAGCTGAACAAATTGATGATGCCGGTAGCAGCCAAATGCCCAGCGGGGCTGCGAAAAGAAAGAAAAAGAAGAGAGAGTGGCGGCTGCATTAAAAAATGTCCCAACAATAAATAGCTTTTTCAAAAAAGCAAAAAGTGACGAAATAGGCCAGCAACCACAAGGAACAGTGGCGGCAGTCACGGAGGATGTTGTTGAGCTAGCGAGCAATGTTAGCCTCTAGCCTTGGATTTTGATGACCTAATCACAGACTTTTCAAAGAGAAAGGCAAGGGAGAAACACTTCTAAAAGGTAAGATCCACTGTCTCTCACACACACTCATTCTCTCTCTCTCACACCCACACACTCTCTCTCCCTCTCACACACACACACACACACACACACACACACACACACACACACACACACACACCACACACACACACACACACACACACACACACACACACACACACACACACACACACACACACACACACACACACACACACACACACACACACACACACACACACACACACAATATCTTCCATCACATATTCTGATCACTTAGTTGAGCAACCACACAATTTCACTACATATTTTACTTTTGTAACTCTCAATGTTTGTGACTAATATAACTCCTTGTGTACTTGTACAGCCAGGCAGTCATATTTTTGCATTAAGTGGGGTGCTGCTCTGAGGTTTTGAGTGATATTACCTAGGTCTTCTTGAGCCATACACTGTCTTGAGATCTTATCCATTGTATCTTTGTCTTGTGATTTTTGACTGAAAGGGCAAAAGGCTAGACCTATACTTTGGTTGAACTATGTGGCTGCGTCCCTGCTTTTGACAAATAGGTGTGCGATTTGACATGCCAGATTGACTGCAAATTCTAAATATTGGTCATGTTGGTAGGATTGGGTAGGTGTGGTGTTACTTGTTGGTACGTGGGTTGGGGGGGGGGGGGGGGGCATGAGCGCTCAGTGCCCAGGGGCCCCTGGAGGTACTAATCCGGCCTTGGCTACGGGCCTGATGTGTGAAAGTGAAACTATCTGATAGATAGAACATACACTGAACAAAAATATAAATGCAACACTTTTGTTTTTGCTCCCATTTTTCATGAGATGAACTCAAAGATCTAAAACATTTTCTATATACACAAAATAACCATTTCTCTCAAATATTGTTCACAAATCTGAAAAAATCTGTGATAGTGAGCACTTCGCCTTTGCCGAGATAATCCATCCCACCTCACAGGTGTGGCATATCAAGATGCTGATTAGACAGCATGATTATTGCACAGGTGTGCCTTAGGCTGGCCACAATAAAAGGCCACTCTGAAACATGCATTTTTGCTTTATTGGGGGGTTCCGAAAACCAGTCAGTATCTGGTGTGAGGGGTAGGGTTAGGGTTAGGGTTAGGGTTAGGGTTAGGGTAATGTTGTGAATCGAGTGGCCTGTGTTCGTCGTCCATACCATACGCCTGCCCATACCATAACCCCACCACCACCATGGGCCACTCGATTCACAACATTACCCTAACCCTAACCCTACCCCTCACACCAAATACTGACTGGTTTTCGGACCCCCCCAGACCCCCCCAATAAAGCAAAAATGCACGTTTCAGAGTGGCCTTTTATTGTGGCCAGCCTAAGGCACACCTGTGCAATAATCATGCTGTCTAATCAGCATCTTGATATGCCACACCTGTGAGGTGGGATGGATTATCTCGGCAAAGGAGAAGTGCTCACTATCACAGATCTTTTCAGATTTATGAACAATATTTGAGAGAAATGGTTATTTTGTGTTTATAGAAAATGTTTTAGATCTTTGAGTTCATCTCATGAAAAATGGGAGCAAAAAAAAAGTGTTGCGTGTAAGCTAACAATTTCGAAATGCTAACGTTATGTGATGTCTTTTCTGCTCTAGTCTATCGCTGCAGCGCATTGTAGATGCGTCATGAGATGCCGCCGGCGCCTTTTTTTTTTAATGGTAATTTACAGACTGTGAGTCGCTTAGTGGTAGCTCATATAGTCTTGATTCTTGTGGTTAAACTTTTCGCTCCTTATTTTGATGGTAGTGGTGTCAAATCCTGGATTTTTCATTCATTCATCACTTCTTTGACGTTCCCACAGAACTAAACTGCATTCTTAATTACGTTTAGTTAGAAATGTATTTCCTCTTTCCTCCCACGTTACGTTTGTTATCAACGTATCTCAAATACGTTTATTTTCTACATATCTTCTAGAAACATATTTTCTCCCACGTCACGTTAGTTATGAACGTATCTTAAATACGTTTATATTCTACATATCTTTGCCATTTATTGTCTTGCATATTTGTCATATAATAAAAAATATATGTTTACAAATGTTCCATAGTCTTTGTCAGCATATTTTTGCCACGTTATGCACCCCTTGTTATCTTACAAAATAAAAGTCTCACATTCATGAAACTTGCTCCATTCATTGGTACTAGTCCTACAACTATACCCTAAAAAATGCTTGAGGGTGGGATGAATAGAAACATCTTTTTGGGTGGGGTGCATTTTATGACAGGCCTGGTTATCACAATATGCACCCCCTTGCTATCTTTCAAAATAAAAGTCTCACATTCATGAAACTTGCTCCATTCATTGGTACAACAATACCCTGAAAAATGCGTGAGGGTGGGAATAAGAGAACCATCTTTTTTAGGGGGGTGCTTTTTATGACAGGCCTGGTTTATCATCCGGGAATGAGTGGGGTGTGCGTGTGCAAGTTGCTTGTGTTGGTAATGCGCAAAAGCAATCCAGTAGACAGACATGTGCGCATATATAAGATAATTACCTGCATTACATTCTTTCTTGATCTGGGCTATAATATGGGGAGACTGCAAGGTTTCTTATATTAAACTTTACCTATAAAAATGCCTATACCATTTAACCCTTATGTTGTGTTCAGCAGAATTGTTGTGGGTGACTCTGGGTCAAATTTGGCCCAATCAAGATTAATCTTTGACTTTAGACACCCCACCCCGACCCCCTTCATCCACTGTAACACTATTTTTTTTGCAACATGCACCTGGTCTCCCATGCCTCTGCCCCCCTCCCCCCACGGGAACTCCACCTTTCACAATAATATGTACACTAAAACTTGAACCTGAACACACACATGCACGTGTGCAATAATTAAATTACAACAGGATTGTATGGTTAAAAATGCACAATAGGTTAGTTATGATGGAGTTAAAACAATATTGGATGATAGTCATTATTTTGGAGTGTTT